TAAAGCGGCTAATTGTATTTGGGGAATTTGAAACCATTGAAGACAACAATATTGTAAACGCTGAATCTCTCTAAAAGGAATATCACTCCAAACATGGTTCATTACAGAGATATGACGAATTAAAAAATTCGCATCACACGGCATCCTCGATAGAAGTTATAAACAAGCCAGTGTCACCTATACGTGTTAGGTAACATCTTTGGAATCCAAACCGGGAGATAATTTACCGTTGATATTTTGGATTTACTTCCCCAATTAAATATTCCATAATCAATATGGGTATAATTTAGCGTGGATTAAGCCATGATAAATTAGATTTTGACCAAAAAATGTAAAATGGCGATCAACAGATTTAACGCCGTCAACGGTTTTTGTACCAACCGCATTAACGAAGATGGTTCGGCGGTTGTCTTAATGAAAATCAAAGCCGCCATACCACGATTTCTTGCTCAAAATATGCATGTGTATATTTTTAACATGAGCTAGTTTGGGGGGTGTAGACAGGTGGTCTGAGATATAAATACATTAAAAGGTTAGGATATATCAAATATCTATCAGGTATAGACTATATAAATATAGACATGTACCTCTAGACAGGTGATAAATAGATACAATACTGTAGTATATTATGACGTGTGATATACTAGTGTACACTATAGTCTAAACAACTACTCAACGATGTTTATAAAGTTTCATTGTTTAGCAGTTTATTACAAGATACATTTTTTTCCATACTCCATTTTCCACCCACCAGTATCCTTATCACCTTTAAACATGTCAAACCTCCCATTCAGTTTACACAATTTCATTTTAGTATCGAAGTTTTTATTCGTCCTTATAACGTCAGAAATTATAGTCCATATTGTTTAAGTTTGTAATTCCCATTGGTTGCCAGTCAATGTCGTTAAACACCAAACTTTTAAAGAGTGTTGCTGTACTTTTGTTTTGTAGATTTTATCAACATTTTTTTATGAATGAGCGTTAGGCTTTAAGGGAATACGCCCGATAGTGCATAACAATGTTGAAATAAAGCGTGCACCAAATCACCGTAAACACGAAAACAGACATTGGAAGCGAATTAGTTTTGTAGCAGGACCAGGGTGGACGGGGTGTGTGTGTGTGGGGGGGGGGGGGCTCATCGGTTGCAAGTTTTCAGTAGCCCCCCACCCTCCACGTATCTTTTAATGAAAAATAAGGTTTTTAACGTCTTAACCACAAAATGAAAGGGATTGTTATATGCCATTTTAAGTATCGAAGATGTCTATCGAGTGTCGGGATCTTGAATTGTCCCAAACCTGAATAATGTAAAAATAATTACTGGTGTAAAACGACTTTTAATTCCAATGTGAATCATCAACAAATTAATGAAAATTGTTACTGTTGCCACCTAGACTAAAGAAATTGGTCACCACCAAAGAAAACATAGATAAAATATTATTAATTAATAGTCAGTCATCTTAATTATAATAAAGAATATACTCGTTACCCAAGTTATCGATTTGTTATCGCTCAGATAAACGAAGTATACCTGGAAAATATTAACACAGATTTTAACATAACATGCCAATTAGTCCTTACAAAATGACTATTAGATTCATAAAAAACGTGTAATATGTATGATAAATACTTCTACGGGGGGTGTTAATTAGTTTTTCTATCTAATCAACCATTTCATATACCTAAGTACATAGATAAAGGAGAGTTTAACAGGATCGTATGACTAATATACGGCTGATATTAAATAGACATTCAAATATATAGATCACATCCTTAGAAAATATACCAACGCAAATAAGGAATGCGTACTTTACACTCATGTCTGCAAACACGTTTTAAAAAGCGACTAGGTCAAGGGTTATGTAAACTTCTATACTTACAAATCATATGGTGGGAATGATGAAGAGAGAGACAGAGAGAGAGAGACAGAGAGAGAGAGAGACAGAGTACTTGCAGCATGCGTAGCTTTATTTTATTTAAATCTTTAGTAATCAAAAATATTTGTTGCTGCAATTACCTACATAAGAACAAAATGAAATGAAATGAAATGGGGTTTAACGTCCCACTGTTCTGCTTCGAACTGGGCTAATGAGACGGGCATACGCCATACAGTGTGCTATGAGGGAAATTTTGCCCGGAAAGCGACACTACGGCCACTCTTATATATATCAAATTCCAACTGTCAAGGGATCTTTTATATGCACGCCAATGTGTACACGGGACCTCGGTTTTTCGTCCCATCCGTACAACTAGACAGCTGTCCTTGTCAGGCCCTCCGTCCTGCGTCACTGACAAGGGGGAACTACGCCAGAAAATCTGGATAAACTTTCTCGGCCAATGCAGGGTACATAAGAACAATCAGTGTTTATCGAAAGAAAATATTGGAGCGATTTGACGTTCAATGTGAAAATTACGCTTGTTATAACATAATAAGCGATATGACCGTACGAGCCGATTTCCCTTCATCATCATCACACCTAGTTAATAATTATCGTATATACACACACCATTCTAATCGAATTAAATATGTAATACCACAACAAACTGAATTTTTCAAAATCAAATGTGCAGGGATATATATGTATTTTTATTTTAACTATAATCGTTAAAACAAACAATTTGCTTTGGGTAAGCACTGTACTTCTACATCAGTATTTGTTTTTACCCAATAAATGGATTTAAAATCGAAATAATGACTGCAGCAGTGTTTTCAATTAGATATACAATTGTTTTGTATGAAGGGAATGTGTAAGTATAAAATTATTGACATGTTATTTCTGATGTATTGATTTGGTTGTATGAAGAGCAGAGAATCAGATCACTCCTTTCTTACTGGATTAAGAACAAAATTTATGTATGCATGTTAAGGTGGACTTTTTTCTATGGCTCTGTTTAGAGATGGTAAACCGACCTTTGCGCACAGTATAGTTCAATAAGAGCAAATTGGATAAGGTTAGGGTTAGGGTTAAAACCTCTGTGGCCCGATACAGCCCATAGTTTGATATCCCTTACCCCACCCCAAATTTACGTACCATATTAAGATGGCTTGTTCGTTCAAGATACGATACCAACCTTGAAAACAGCGTATCTTAATTATAGTGTCTTTACCATAAACGCGGGATGTTGTCAGCCTAAACAAAGTAAACCTCGGAGTTGGTAAAAAGATGTTACAGTTACTCCCACAGACGATATAGAATCATTTTCAAACCATCGCTTCGAATAATTCAAGTAGATTTTCTACTCTCGACTATTTTTCATTTTAAGTGTATGACACAAACCTTTTCAACATAAACTCCATTTGAATAGGGCGTGGGCCGTGGGGTACAAGGATAACGCGAGGTAATAAAATATGTTAGTTTCTTTCATCATCTACTCAAGAGATCATCCTACAAGATAAAGCACTAATAATAACAGTATATTTATTTTATATACGCTTTACACGTAGTATACATGCATATACATTTACCCATGATGAAGCTATTTCACGCTTCTTACATCTATATAATACATATTAAAACAGGCCATCGTTGAGTTAGGCTACATAAACCAGGCTGTCAATGTAAGGACATGATTATAGCCACATAAAACTTGAAGTCCATTATTTCTGGTTGTCCAATGTCCATGTTAGTTATAATTCTTTTAAATCTTCATCTAAAACCACTAGCGTTTGTGTTCAATAGACCATTTACATATAATTACCCAAAATCAAAAGATGTTTATCAGGCAGGAAAACTATGATAAAAAGATTTAGGATAATTGTTGTGAAAGTAGTATTATTACAATGTCCTTACTCAAAAACCCAACAAATCTATATATGGGACAACAATTTCTGGTTTATTATGAAAGGGCACCACATTTTGACGCCCATTCGTTTGTGCTTGATAACGATAAGAAAGGAATCTTGTCGAAACGTTGTGTCTGTGGATAATAAACCATTGTCGTTCCATATACCTGTTAAAAGTTGTGTTTTCCAATCGCTAAATACCACTAAAGGATTATTTCGTCCCACATCGCTAACATGTCGACTCCCGAGTCTTTGGTTGCTATTGACCACAAGAGATACATACATACGAAAAGTTTGATAATCATACCCGTAGCATCATTTTTGCTACATTTTAAAAATCATGTCATTTAAAGCTAAAATTCTGCACGATTTTAATGTGAAATTTAATAAAAATCAGACTATCTGTCAGTAATAAGACAACGACGAAGAACGGACAGACTATAAAGTGTCGTAATTGCGGACATTGTTTAAGATACATAAATATGGCGGCGTAAAATCAATCGTAACCAATGTAAACTAAAGTGGCCATTTATACGTTTAGATTGATCGATTTTAGACCAACGTGTATTTCTATTAAAATACTTTCGATCTTGTATGGTCTCAAACTTCATACTTAATCTTATTCTGACATTTGAGGCGTCACATAATACTCTTTTAAACATATTGCGATACTAGGTGGTACAAATTCATTTCCTTCTATTTATTTTGCAATGACTCTTATAAAATGATAATCTGACTAATCTTGGAAAACCTAACAAGTGACGCCGAACACGACATGAATACAATAACACATATGGGGTATCCCGTTGAAAGTAATATAATCAACTTTATGGAGTATGGACGAAATTCGAGGTCCCGTGTATACATTAGAATGCACGTAAAAGATCCCTTGGCAGTTGGAATTCGATATAAGAGTAGACGATAGTGCCGCTGCCCGGGCAAAATTTCCCTCATAGCACACTGTATGGCGTATGCCCGTCTTCATTAGCCCAGTATAGGAGCAGAACAGTAGGACGTTAAACCCCATTTCATTTCATGTATGGGCGAAATTAAGATATTCTTTCACAAACGTTCAAAATAACGACAAGAACAACCATTCCAACTCTTCTCAAAAATGTTTTAAATTTGGTTATTGGCACAATATTTACGAAAATTATAGACATCAGTTGGCAAACTAATAATAAAATAAAAGAAAAATATGGAAGAAAACTCGACATACCTCGGACGTTTTTACTGGCTTCTTCCAAAAATTTTCCAAAGTCAATATTTTTAACGCTTTCATCAAAATCTCGATTCCAGGGTTCAACATCAAACGCTTTCTTCCAACGGATATAAATTGCTTCCATGGCGAAATAACAATTGGATTTGCCTTGATTACCTCCCACGGGTTTATTGTGATACAGGAGACCAACTTTATTCCAGGCAAACGTTCTACACAAATTATAAAAAAACTTCCCGGCTTCGGCATAAGGCCCCATAACCCGCGTCAAGAGTTTGTACTCTCTCTTATTCTCAAACGCACTAACTAAAGCCCCGGCACTGATAATGGGGATTTCCCAAGCGTAAGAAAATCTAGCAATGGGGGCCACGGCATAATCACATGCAGGCCCAATAAAAACATGCACTTTATCCTTCATATCTATGGCGGCCAGGGGACCTATAGTTTCCGAACAATGAGAGTCTTTGTATTCCATAACAATATCGTGGCCGGCGAGAAATTTCGGATCATTTCTTATAGTGTCTACAGCGTATTCTATAGCAGGTTTCGTTTTAGGTAAGATCCAGTAATAAGGACCCGACACAGGCAAAATGACCCCCATTTTCACAGTGACACTTAAAATACACGGAATAAAATACCCCCCTATTAATAACAATAGGGTGATAAAAGTAGCCATATGTATATCTCTTGCACTTTAAAATATATTGCCTAATTCCAGCATCCCGTTTTTACACATAATACGATATACCTATTTAGTTTTAAATACTTAGAGCGTACTTCACACCACATGTTATGAGTAAATTATTATCTATAACCTTTGAACCTTAGTAGTAAAAATACTGGTGATGATGATGATGGTATTTTAGTCGGTCGGATATTACTCTCACTCTTAAATCCACTGAATGAAAACTGCCTATAAGCTGTCTTCTTTCCTCAATACTTTTTATAGGTTTGCACACGGCGAAAACTGAAACTTATGGTTGCTCGGCGTGTGTGAGCCGACTGTGTACAGCCGCTTGGCTTGTATATCACTGGTTGTGTGTACCGGTAGAGAAAACCTATCTATGCTCTATATTGTGTAGTTAACGGATAACTGGCAATCGGGAAAGTTGACAATCTTTGTTTGCGACGCGATCGAGATAAACCCAACTTTTGTTGATGAACACAAAAACAAATGGAAGACCAGAGGGCTTTGTCATTTGTCTGTTGCTTTCTAATTTACATACAATTTCCCCATGGTAATTGGATAAAAGCTTCCAACCCATTTTTACGTTGGTCTTGGAACCAGATAGCTGCAATTATTCGATAACCCGTGGATCGCGAGTTAATACGCTGGAATCTCCGTGATTCGCAATTTGGCTATTAGCTAGTAATACCCATATTAACACCGATTACTGCGATAATAGCGAGGTGGTTTTAATCAAACCAAACCAGTTCATTTGCCGAAAATAATGGAGTCGGGGGGTTCAATTGTAAACGGTTTCCAGAATCGTTATCTTGTGTATTTAAGACGATAAATTACCAACCACCGAATACAAATTGTTACCGCTTAACTCTTATTTCATTTTTAATGACCAGCTTTCACAGGCTAAATGTACATGTCAAAATTATACAAAAGTCCCAATGTTGATAATCAAGAATTATATGGCTAAGTAGCATGTTTCGCGGAATATCATTTCCAAGCAAATGGCATTGTTTACCAAAAAATCCTTGATTTTTTGAAAATACACGTATAATATATGTACAGTAATTAATTTAGTATTAATGGCGGCATTATTAAAATGAATACAATATTGAATAATAGTATAACCAATAAAATAAATAATTTACACAGAGTCTCTCCACATTACCAAACATTTCAAACATTGACCGAAATCCAGTGATAGCAAAGTTAATCTATTTAGTACTCAATCTGTCTACGCGATTTTTTTTTGCATTCCATAAGACAAGTGAACTGGGTGAAATTGTTATATTCAGGACTCAAGCCACTGCTATTAATGAAACACATCAGACACATGTTGAAACAACCCAGAGAGCATGTTATTATTCAAAGTTAACAAACTGTAAGGCGATTTCTTTCAACTATAATACCTAGACATAATAAATCTCGGGCTTGAAAAAATGATAGTATCACCCTCAGTGTAACTCTGAAATAATTTGCTTCATTTCGCTCCGTTGCAACAAAATAAGCGATCCGTTGAATTGTACGAGGTGGAAGGCAGGGTTGTTACTATACATAGTTATCGAATGTCATCATTAAGCAACAATCCATTAATGATTATGTAACATGCTTATATAAAACTGTCGCTACTCTATCATAAAGTGATAATTTCATGAGATAATGACATCCATGCTGTGTTCAAGGAACTCGTGTCACAGACGCAGTCTGTGTGTATGCTTCACTACATGCATTGGTAGGGTTAATTTGGTTCATCCCAACTTATATATATATTAATCTAAGGATAAATTAAGGTAATTGATTTCAAAGTCCATGGATACAAAACAAGGCGAATCAGTCTAACCCCTGGGTTCCCAACCTCTAGGAGTCGCGAAGCAGTCGCGAAGCACTTTTGGCGGGGTCGCGTGGCCGACTACTCTGAAACTTTTGAAAAAATGCTATGCTTTCATGAAATCTCTGATCTATACACCTCTTATCACATTGCTAATCCTCTCTCAAGCCCACGATTTGTATACCCAGTCTCTCATTACAACATTTTCACCTGGAAAATGAAACGAGTTTAGGGGATCCAAACTATATCAGTATCGGGTTGTGGATGGTTTGTTCGAGGGGTCGAAATCAGATGCTGGTTTCTGGAATGGGGTCGCAACCAACAAAAGTTTGGGAACCACTGGATCTAATATTATGTGGACTGTAACTGTTCATGTAAACTTTGAAAGAAAAACATCAGTTATGGTTGACACATGAATTATGGTTGCCACATACATTGTCTTTCACAATGTCTCTTTTCTAGAACACGACATCGCCCTTGTAAACCCGACGCATCGCCTTTTATAAATGGAATGTCATTGATGGTGTGCGCTTATCAAAGAAGACCTCAGTTTCACTTTAAGAAAATCATATTTCTGTATTAGATTACATATGCACCAATGTTTACTTTTAACGAATTAAACTATTAAACTAAAGTTACACTGACATATTAAACATGAATCAATGCAAGAGCTAAATCTGACTAGTGTAGGTCTTTAGGTAACTTATAAAGAATATAAGCAACTCTTGATGTCATCGTTAGCCTGCGATATTTAGTGGATTTGAATACATATTGTGATAGATGATTTTGTTAATTATTGTACCAACGGTAGTAATAAGGTCCGAGGCTCGCCTAAAATTGAATCGCTAATATTTCGGTTCAGAGTGAAGCAATTTGACTGAAATCCTCAGCAATGTTTACCTATTTTTTTTAACTATTATAACTGTCAGCTCTTTATCTAATCTCCCATAATGTCCCTTTAAGCTATAATAAATCAGGGCAAAATTTCCCTCATATCACACCGAATGTCAATGTTCCATGTGCAAGGTTGGTGGCAAAAAGTAAGATGTCTAACTCGAGTTTCTCTCCAGAATTCCCATTAGATTGTTTGTAGGGTACGGTTCACCTGCACTTACCAATATAATAAATATAGTTTCTTTTCTTTGGTTTTTTTTTTTTTTTTTTTTGGGGGGGGGGGGGTTATAGGGGGTGGGGGTGGAACAGGCCCGGAGCTACTAATCTTGTTCTTCACAGAAAGACTAACGCTCCGTCAATTCAAGTACGATCAACATGAAACTGGACAATTATGACGTCATAATTCCAAGGTGACTGCGATGAAGTCATACCCTGTTCCATAGTTCTTCTTCTTCTTCTAATAGTAAAACGTCCACTTCTACCGAGGGTGATATCGTAGACAAGTTTTCTTATTTTTATTATCTTAGTGCACGCGAGGAAACCGGAGTACTCGGAGTAAACCCACGAGGTTGAGAAGAGGCTCCTATCTTCAAGCCACATACGCTCACACCAGTTATCGAAACAACGACCGCAAGCCAGAGATGATCGCCCAGCTAGGGCTCGAAGCGCGACATTCTAGACCACTAAGCCATCCCAAACCGGCCCCTGGTCCTTAGTATGCTAGCACTTCTTCTTAACAACAAATGTACTTTACTCAGTAGTTTAAATATATTTACCAAACTACGGCTATGTATTTAGTATAACAACTGTCGAGAAAATACATTTTTAAAGCTGGGCTTTCCTGAGATGACTAATTTGCTTATCACATAACCCTCGTGGTATCTGCTACCCATTTACGCACCATAATTTGTAATTCTTATATATGAACCATGCACGAAACTATAATTAATGTCACTTATGTTTTCACAAACAAGCTAAACGATTTATTGAAAAAATATATAAGTAATTACCCTCTATCACATATTGATGTAGATGAAGAGTATCTTAGAAAGTAGCATATCCATTCATGTTACGGACTTTCCCACAAACTAAGAAGATTTCAACTCTTGATTTAGTTTGCAATAAAGATGTTTAACTCCTATTTTAAAAAATCAAAGTAAGATTTTATCTACATGAATATACAAAATGATTCAAGTATAAACTGAGAGGGTAGCATAACGCCAACAAAGATATAACAGGATACAAAGAGACTTTTTAAAGGTCTGATAACACTCAACAATGTTATGAGTCTATATTAATATAGTTATAAATACATCAAAGGCTTTTACATTGCCATCCACATTATAGAAACACTATACAGTGTAAAATACAACGATGAAAATTGTTTGTGGCTATGAATTAGTTAATAATCACATACAGTACTAGTATCTTTGTTAAAAAAAAAATTTCCGAGGTATGTAAAGGATATAATTGTTCTTAAAGAAACGTATATGACAAACTTAAATTTCACATGAATTACTAGTATCTTTATTAAAGGTATTTCTGTGGGGTGTCTAAAAGATATAATGGTTCTATTTATTGTTAAGAAATGTATAGTGTGTACTATATATCCCGTTTCGAATGCAATAAGTATATTTTTTTATAAGGATTACGGCAAACCCAAATTATAAAGTATCTGTTTTAAAAGATGTTTTTGGAGAGGTGTGTAAAAGATATAATGGTTCTAATTATTGTTATGAAATCGTAAAGAAATGTACATGTGTAGTGTGTACGCCACGCCAGAAAATTGTATGTGGACTTTTCAAATTAGGAATCAGTCAGAGAGAATGACATCCTGGTAATGAAGGGATAAATAGATCTTCAAATTATTTTTTAATTAGTTAGTCTGCTTGATTTCCAGTTATATTCTTCTGCTGGAATATCTTTAATATATAATCTCAAACACGTCTTCGAGACATCAAAAATATCGTCGTTCACGTCCATCAAGAACATATCCTTGGCAGAGCCCCAGATTTGTTTTTATTTAATTTGTATTGACTTATGGTAATACATATATCCATGTATATTTGAAAACTCTGCTAGATTGTAAGTACATGTTTCAACTTCTTATTTTGAGTATGGGCTTTATGATCGTCAGTCAAATAGAGAGCAAATGAGATTTTGTATTGAAGATACTAGAGATTAAACGTACCTGTATATACCATATTGTTGAAGAAGTAATAACATGATCGTGTATACAAAGTGTATGTGTATAACAAGTACGCCAAATGTTTAATAATCTCTCGTGAACAATACGTCAAGATTATAATATCTTTAATAAACTCTCGTCAACGATATGTTGGCAAGTTTAAGTGAAGAATATTGCACGGTATTTATTACCCTTTACAAAAGCGCTTATTGGGGATATTTATTTATATAAAACGGTATATTGCTACGTGTATATAACGTGGTATGATGTATATTATACTACATAGTGTTTTGTACATTATACTA